AATTCTCAAACCCAAACAGATTTTCCATGAATGTCATCAGTGTTGACCTGAAGGTAAACAAACAAACGTGGTAACAACAAATGATGCTTAAAGTTCTAAATTTAAGGGCAAGTTAGATTTTTTTTTTTATCTTTCTTATTTGTGTTCATGATTTTGTAAATAGCCTGAACCTGCTGGCAGCTTTCAGTCTTTACACTTTGAAAAGGAAGGAGGAGCACTAACCTTTTCTGTCAGACTAAAAACAACCTTTTCATTCACTCACATCTGCTTTTCCTGGTTCAGTTTCATTGTTGCAGCTCCTCCTGTTTGGTCAAGGTGTGTTTGATCTCTATCTACAGTCCACAGGGTTTACGTCTGTGCAACTTTGCCCTCATTGTACTGCTCTGAAGTTTTCTCCAGAAGTGGTCTGAAGAGCTGTTTCTGGAAAAACTGTCTAACAAAGTCCCTTTTTATCTTATATCCAGACAAAAAACATTTTTATCTTAATTTAAGTATAATAAGAGCAAAATGTATGATTATTTACCCTCGTCAGCCTAGGAATTTTCCTTATTTCAAGAATCGTACCAAGTGCAATTGTTTTTATTCCATTGGCAGAAAATTACACTTAATTTAAGAAATATGAGACAACTCAGTCTCAAATTACACACTTTATAATTTAGTTCTGAACAAGAAAATTACACAAAACACTTATTATTATTATAAACTTGTTATTTTATGTGGGAAATGCGTAAATCACTTAAAACTCAACCAAACAGTGAACATAAAAAACCCAAACAGATCAGCGGCCTGTTGCATGAAACTCGGCTGCAGAATTTTCACGCATGAATGCAAACCTCTGGATGTGAGAATTGCTAAAAGCACCCATTGTTATTGTCCGTTTAAAGTGAAACATTACACAGGTTTAAGTTTTTCAGYTGAAGTTACAAAGAAGCACTTCAGTGGGTTTACGCTGAAGAGCTGCAGGTTGCAGAGTCCTGCTTCAGGCTGCAGTGGGGCATTGCTACATCCTGATCTTGTGGAATTTACCGTATTTCCTGACAGGTGTATTAGAAACGTGAGCCGTGCCAGCCGGGCTAATGTTTCACTGGAATTCAGAAATTCCTCCTCTGTTAAACCTCACACTTGAACAAAGTCCAGGAGCTTTACTTTGGTGTGTGAGCACGTGTTTGTGTGTTCTGAATGAACGGAAGAAAAACAGCATTAAGTAAAAGATGCACTTCTTTAAAATAAAAAAAAACTTTGTTGTTTTAAGCTTCATTAAAAATAATGAAGGTTTTTCAAAATGTTTCATTGTTAACTTGACTAAGAACACGACACTGATGAAGTAAAACTAGGCTATTCAAGTGGCAGACTGCGGGCCACATCCAGCCCGTGGGTGACCTCCATCTGGCCCGCCAATGAGCCCCTCACCCCCATATATTTGCATTTTCTTTTTATTTCCTCAATTCAATATAAAAATAGATTTAAAATATTGTGTAAATTTAAAATTTAGATTTCAATGCAACAAAATAAATTTGAGTGTTAGAAGTAAAAAACAATACGTGTTCTGTTACCTGCTGCTATGTTTCACCGGACACCCCCCCCCCCCACACACACACACACACACACACACTATGTCTCTCAATCCATGTGGGGACTTTCCATTGACTTCCATTCATTTTTTTTGGAAATTTTATAACCTAACCCTGAACATTTACCCTAAACTTTACCTCACAGGTACCTACCTGACCCTAAAACTAACCTAAACTCAATTCACACCTTGATCCTAATCCCCCAATTAAAATGAATYAAAACAGATAAATTTGTTAAACTGAGAGCTCGTCTTGATGTTAGTTTTGGTAGCAGCTCTCAGGAAATGATTCTAGATGGACAGCATTTTCTGCTCTCATCTCCAGTCTTCAGGTGAAGTGTGGCCTTGTGCTGCAGCAGAATGCTTTAGAGCTTCTTGTTTTTAACTTTGAAAAGTCCTGAAGCTACTTTATTTTGTGCTTAAAAGAAAAATCCTTCAATATTTATTAAAATTTGAATCTGCTCTCAGGTCTGCCTTTCAGGCCTTGCAGCAGCTTGTGATTGTCTAACCCCCACCACCTAATTATTCCTCTCATCTTGAGTGTTTTGTTGTTGTTTACTTGCTGTATTTTGTGATGCAAACTTCAGAGCTTCACTCTGAACACTGATCCCTACTTTGCAGATAAAAATTGATGCTGATTAAATTGATATAAGCGTCTAAGAGACACAGAAAACAAAGTAATTAAGACTTTGTTTCATGTGATCGCAGACTATTTTTTTTACAGTCATGACTGATGTGATGCTATAAAACCGTCTGATCACCTCAGATGTTATCGATGCTTCTTCACAGAGGTGTAAGGATATAAGTCAGAACACAGTTTGTGTTTGAAGTGGAAAATAAAATTGGGCTGAGCATAAAATCAAAAAGCCGATGACAGATCAAGGAGGAGCCTGAAATGACTGATAAAACTAAATTAGGAAGCAAATATGGGCGTCTGTCTGTGTCTGTGTTTCAACAAGTCCTAAAAGTCTCCAGTGTTTCCTGTCTGCTCCACACCTCAGCACAGAAAATACAAATTCTGAACTTCAAATCACCCAAACTGGATTTATTGTTGGTGCTGTAAAAGCTAAAAAAGAAATCAGTAACCAATCACCTCTAAAAAACTGGGTGATCTGGGCCTAGGGAGGTCACTATGTTTTATGGATATTGGACTTCCTGAGCATCAGACCCCAACACGTCAAGATGGGAGACTGCATATCTTCAATTCTCATCTTGAACACAGGCACCCCACAGGGATGTGTCCTCAGCCCCCTCACTCTTCACATATGACTTCTCCCTCATTCACACCTCCAATAACACCAAGTTCGCTGATGACACCACCATCGTGGGACTGATTTCGAACAACAATGAGTCACCCTACAGGGAGGAGGTCCGGCACTTGGCAGTATGGTGTAAGAACAATAATTTGGAATTGAACACAAATAAAACCAAGGAGATGGTCGTGGATTTCAGAAGATCCACCCGTACCAAGACCACGGCCCTCCTCATCAATGGAGTGGAGGTTGAGAGAGTGGAGCACCTTAAATTTCTTGAAGTATACATCTCTGTCGACCTCACATGGGCCTTTAACACCCATTAATTAGTGCAGAAGGCACAACGAAGACTTTACTTCCTCAGGAGGCTGAAGCTCTTCCACCTCCCTCAACACCTGCTGGTGAACTTTTACAGAGCCACCATCGAGAGCATCCTGACTTTCTGTTGCACAGTCTGGTTCACCAGTTGCACAGTACAGGACACGAGGGACCTGCAGCGAGTGGTAAGAGGGGCGGAAAAAAATCATAGGAACTTTGCTTTCCCCCCCTCAGGGACATCTACAACTGTCAACTCCAGAAAAAGGCTACCAGCATTTCAATGGATATTACCCATCCTGGACATAC